AAGCAGTGTCACCTGGGAAGAGATAGTTTTCAGTTTATTTTCAGCCCAGATGAGGTTCAGAGCTGAGAAGGAATTTGATTACATAGCTGGGAACCAGACCAGTTCTAGGAACGGTGCTCTTGGTTCAATGAGACGAGGTTATAAGAAAACTTGATCCATTTATTCAAGAGTTGCCCTCATGAGAGGAGCATACATGTTCCCTGCAGCTCTCATTGTTCGGACCACTAGCCATAGTTCAGCTGCTTTCCTCTTCTCAACTGTCTGCCCATTGTAGGCATCTGACTTTGCAACTCCTGCCTTCAATTTTAAATCAAACTGTCTATAGTGTTGTGTGTTTGTTGGTAAACCAGGTCCAACCGATTTTAATTGAAATCTTAGTTTGCAAACCTCAAACCTCAGCAGCTCTTTTGTAAATATTCAGCCATTAGTAAAATGGGGAAAGTCAGCTGATAGTACCAAAGAGAAAAGAGGGAAGTGACTTTCTGTTTACTTGAGATAGACACACTAGTTTGACACTTTATCCTATATTCATCTCCCGTGTATCAGAGTGAGGGGAGAGTGTGTATTTGCATAGCTTTTATTTTTGGCTCTAGTACTCTCTATGTAGTGTATACTATACTTACTGCTTCAGTATATATTTATTTTGAGTAAGGAGAAAACAGAAATTATTATATTTTTAAACCAAGTAAACAAATATATCAGACTAAGGTACTGCAAGGCTTGATGGTGGTTATCTGAGAATTCATGGTGTTATTGTACATGTTTTTGTTCTCTTGGTAGAGTTCATAATCAAAAGATAATGGAGAAGTGCTTCTGCTTATAAAATTTGTCCATCATACTCTTCACTTGAAGGGAAAATATTGGGTCATTGGGAAAGTCATTATGCATTTTTCATTGAAAAATACATTATGACTTATCTGATGACCTGATAGCTTCATTAGGTTATAGCAGCTTGTTGCTTGTGAAGCAGACTAAGAACTGAGATAGAGAAACAGTTCATAGCTTGCTTCTCTTTTCTTCATCTCCTTCCTCCACTGCCCAGAACCAAAAAGATAAATGATTACAAAGGGTGGATCTAGGTTTTGATGGGCCTGAAATTCCTGTTACTTGGTGGGTTGGGGCATTTTAAAGAAAATACAAAATTATTTTTCTTTTTCTTTGCAAGTTAAACACACATACACCCCCATCCATGTGAACTCATTGCTTGCTGTTTGCCAGGTGAGGGACCCCAAAGCTTGAACTTCATTAGCCTTGTAAGTACTCTGCCCTTGGGCAAAGGCAAAACACTGATGGCCCCTCTCTGTTCTTCGGTTCCCCTGATGCCCCTCCTGGCTGAAAGTGGAGCCATCTTACACATCTTTAAAATTCTCAGCTCTATGAAATGCCTTCACCTTAACCATGACTTTTCTGGTTACCTAGTATTTCCTTGCTTCACGTGCACTAAAACTTCAAGCCTGATGCTTAACATGCAAAGGAAATCATAATCTTAACTACTATAAACTTTTTAACTACCTGCACATTACCTCCATCTGATTTCTTCCCTTAGGTCCTCTGCCTTCCACATGAGACCTTCTTCTAAAGGCCTTTCCTCCTTCATAATCTCCAGGGATATTAAAGAAATACGGAAACTAGATCTAGAATCCAATTAACTTGCCATTGACTGTTATATAACTGGGTGAATCACAGTTTAGTGGGACAGAAAATCTCCAGTTAATAGAAGCTGCCAAGAGTGGCAGAAGACCAGGTCCTGTTGCTCATATAATCTTCACTCCCCAGTGTGGAAAACACTAGGGTGGAGGTAGACGCTGAGCACGTAAACTGAGCAGCATATGTCTATGTAGATATGTCCGCTACACAGAGAGGGAAGGCAGACTGACGCAGCCAGGCCTGTAGATTCTTCAGGGTCCAGCAGATCATTGGGTCAGCAGCTTAAATGTAGGGAGTTTATAACTGCTATAGCGTTGCCTGTCCCACTTTACTAAGATGTGGCTGGTGTGTGTAGAATACCAAAGGACTGGGAAGCAGGAGGCAAGGCTTCTTATCAGTGGCTCCTCTCACTCCTACAGACTTGCTCCTATTAATCTGTTTCTACAGGCAGCGTCTTTCAGCTGCTTGCTTTTGATAGCTTTTTTGCCCCCGGATTTATCCTGTCAACAGCTCTATCTTGAGACAGGTGAGAGATTATTTAGGTGAGTACTGCATTTGGTGTTGATGTCACTTTAAATCACGTTTAGTGCAGTTAGAATGTTGAATCAGTGTGTCTTGGGGGCCTTAGATTTTTCTGTATGTGGCAGAGCCAATGACATTGAAGAGCTGTTTGCTACCAATCAGTGATGCATACCAGATGTATTGGGCTGTCAGAAAAGTCATGATGCATTTTTCTAATGCCAATATGTGATTAATAACTTCTGTGAATTAATACAGAAGGTGAGACTGGTATTTACTTTTTCACCAGAGGGAAAACAGAGTAAGAAGGATGCCTTCTATGTAGAGTCAGCTGCTAGGAGCTGGAAGTTCCTAGCTACTGATCATTCTTACAGACATTTATAACTCATTCTGTTAAATCCTCTCTTTGGTAAGCATAAACTGCCTTTTTTTACCTGGCAGAAACAAAGCATGCCATGAGAATGAAGTTTCTATTATTCTACATCAGCCAATTAACATGGTATCCAGCCATCAGAAAATTTAAGCAAACTGGATTCCCTATAATTAGTTATCTGTTGAATATGCCTGTGTGTGCCACAGCGTGTGAGTTACCGGATATCTGACGTCAAAACCGATCAAAAGGATTTTAGTTTATGTTAGAAATTGGCTGTTGTAAAGTTGTGTTTCCACTCCCAGGTATCAGGTGAATAGAGAATATAACAATACTTTCGGTTTCTTCTCTGTCTAGATGTATTGCTGGTCTTGAACATTAGTCCATTTGACAACGCCGGGGAGCTCAGCACATCAGTATGGCCAAGTATAAACTTATTATGCTAAGACATGGAGAGGGTGCTTGGAATAAAGAGAATCGCTTTTGTAGCTGGGTGGATCAGAAACTTAACAGTGAAGGAATGGAGGAAGCTCGGAACTGTGGGAAGCAACTCAAAGCACTAAACTTTGAGTTTGATCTCGTCTTCACATCTGTCCTTAACCGGTCCATCCACACAGCTTGGCTGATCCTGGAAGAGCTGGGGCAAGAATGGGTTCCTGTGGAAAGCTCCTGGCGTCTAAATGAGCGTCACTATGGAGCCTTGATCGGTCTCAATCGGGAGAAAATGGCTTTGAATCATGGTGAAGAACAAGTGAGACTCTGGAGAAGAAGCTACAGTGTGACCCCGCCTCCCATTGATGAGTCTCATCCTTACTACCATGAGATTTACAACGACCGGAGGTATAAAGTGTGTGATGTACCCTTGGATCAACTGCCTCGATCTGAAAGCTTAAAGGATGTTCTAGAGAGACTACTTCCCTATTGGAATGAAAGGATTGCTCCTGAAGTGTTAAGAGGCAAAACCATCCTGATATCTGCTCATGGAAATAGCAGTAGAGCACTCCTGAAACATCTGGAAGGTACTTATTAGAGGTGGTTAAGTGTTAAATTGGGCCTTAATCTAGAAACTAAGCTAATAATGATCATTGACATAATAGATATTCCTTTTTGATGACTCTTTATCACTTCAGATTTAAGAATGTTTTATAAATGAAAAATGTCTTTTTACATTCATATTGTCTGAAACAACTGTTTCCAAACTTTAGCAAGCATCAGAATCACCTGGAGAGCTTGGTCTAACACAGGTTACTGAGTCCACCCTCAGAGTTTTTGAATAAGTTGGTTTGAGGTGCAACTGAGAATTTGAATTTCTTAGATGTTTTCAGGTGATGCTGATGTTGCTTCTTGGAGTTGTGCGCTTTGAGAAGAGCTGATCTAAAGGATTACATGATTTTTGTTGTATTAAGATAAAAGGAAGCTAGGAAGGAAAGACTGTAGAAATGGTTTTGAAAGTAAATTTATTTGCCCACTTTCTTCCAACTTTGAACAATTATTCCTGTCTTATCAGACCTCGGTTTCCCAAGAAATTCTTTTCTTCCAGTCCTGTCTTTCCAAACCAGGCTGAGTTATTGTTTAGGGAAAGCTATCGGGAAAGAAAATTAAAGAATGGTTGGCTTATTGATTTGTCTCGACTACAAAATTTTGAAGCTAATCATAGCCTTAATTTTAACTACTTGATGTGGTATTCTTAATGTATTCTAAAATGGACTGTGTTGTTATCTTCTTAAGTTATATAAATTAGGGACCAGCAGTTGGTGTGATGGCTATGTATGTCACTGGACTCCCATGTAGTCGAGTCCTAGAACTGGTGTCTTAAACTTACACGAGGCGCGTGTGAGTGCATACCCAAGATCCTGAGAAGAGAATGGAGGAGAAGGCATTGTGGTGTTCCCATCCTCCATGGGGAGGTTGATTTCTCGCTTTCTGTCTCTCTGTTTCTCTCCATCTGTCTGGCAAGCACACGCACCCTATAGCAACATCCTCTCAAAAAAAAAAAAATTACATAAATTAAATGAACTCTTTTGAGGATTAAAGTTTGCCGATTTGGGACACCATGGATTGTACTAGGGGCTTTCTCACTCCCTCTTTTCCTTTACTAATCCCAGATAGTTGTGCTTTTTGAGTGGTGTGCTCTGCCCACAGTCTTCCTGTCTTTCTTCACTGTCAGCAGTTAGCTCACTGGTTTTAGATTGCTTTTCTCCATCCTTGTTATTTTGCTTTACTGAAAAGATTGACACCATATGTAAAATGAATAGAAATAGGTTATTGGTAACAAAACAAAGTGATCTTTAGTGTGTGGTTATTGTTCTCTAATTTTAATAACATGGCCAAGAGCCAAATCATTACTTGTATACCTGACATTCATCATTCATGGAGAGATTTAAAATATACAAACTATTAGCCATTAAAAACTTTATTAGCTAGACATGGTGGTGGTGGTGGTGGTGGTGTGTGTGTGTGTGTGTGTGTGTGTGTGTGTGTGTATCTTGTTTATTCAATTATATTAGGGTGTTGGGAAAGTCATGACGTACTTTTCAGTTTTTTCTATGCAAAAATATGTCATGACTTTCTCAACAACCCAATAAAAAAGAATCTATTCTTCTTTATTTAGAATAATAAGATATTTGATTAAATAACATATAACTTCATCACGAATGGATAGTAATACCTGATCGTTTGAAGAAGCATTGATGTTCCTAATAGGACAACCACAAAATGAAATTCAGAGAAGTTTCTGCCAGATGATATACTATGTCCAACCTTGGAAGCTCCTTTTTTTTTTTTTTCAGAGATGGGACTTAAATTTCATTGTGGCCAGGCTACTTTCCCTAGACAAAATGCCACTATATCCTTCAGGATACCCTCCACACCACCACCCCCGCTTTTCACTAGGGAATGCCTTCTTTAAAAGAAAGTTTCTACTGTTTACTCTTCACGTACCTTCAGGTTTAGATCTCTTTAAGATAATTCTGCAGCCCTAACCACCACTCATCTAGATACTCCCTCTAACTAGTGCCTTGGTGATTTAAACTATAGCTTCGTGATTTAAACTCTTAGTTATGGTTCTTTTTGAGGGGAATAAGAGGAACAAATGATAAAGAAGACTGTCACCATAGTGGGAATGGAGGGAGAATTTTCTGTAGAGGGTGGGTTTTGATATAGAAAAGCTTACTTTTCTACATTGGAGGGAGATTTTGAAACCATTGATACTTTATCAAAAAGTAATTTAGTGGGAACCAGCAGTTAGCGTAATGGCCATGTCACTGGACTCCCACGTAATCGACCGCGGTTCGCGTCTCGGACCCGGTGGCTTAAATCTCACGCCGGGCGCGTGTGCGTGCGTGCCCAAGATCCCGAGAGGAGAATGGAGGAGAAGGGATTGCGGCGTGACCATCCCCCCTGGGGGGTGATTTCTCGCTTTCTGTCTCTATGTCTCTGTCTGTCTGGCGAGCGCACGCGCCCTATAGCAAAAACCTCTCCAAAAAAAAAAAAAAAAAAGTAATTTAGTGGGATCAGCAGTTAGCGTAATGGCTATGTCGCTGGACTCCCATGTAGCTGACTGTGATTTGAGTTCCAGACCTGGTGGCTTAAACTCATACCGGGCGCTTGTGCGTGTGTGCCCAAGATCTGGAGAGGAGAAGGGATTGCAGCATGGCCATCCTCCCTGGGGAATGATTTCTCGCTTTCTGTCTCTGTGTCTCTCTCTTTCTGGTGAGCACATGCGCCCTATAGCAAAAATCTCTCTCTCAAAAAAAAAAAAAGTAATTTAGTCAAATGGTATACCTTCTTTGGAAAATCATCGGGTTTCCCAAAAAGATTAAACATAGAGTTACTACATGATTCAGCAATTCTGCTCCTAGGCATTTAACTGTATTAGTTTCCAAGTGCTGCTATAAGAAATTATCAAAAACTGACTGGGTTAAATAACAGAAATTATTTATCCAGTTTTGAAGAACTGGATATTCACCTGAAGAAAAATAGATCCCTATCTCTCAGCATTAACAAGAATCAATTCAAAATGAATCAAAGATTTAAAGGGAAAGCCTCAAACTATTAAACTATTAATAGAAAATATAGGAGAAACTCTTGAAGACATTGGAGTAAGCAAAGATTTCTTGAATAAGATCCCTAAACACAGGTAGTAATCTGCAAAATAGACAAGTGGGATTACATCAAGCTAAAAAGCTTCCTCACAGCAGAGAAAACAATAATTAAAGTGAAAAGACAACCCTCTTTTCAGGTGAAAATATTTGCAGGTTATTCCTCAGACAATGACTTGATATCCAGAATATATGGAGAACTCAAGCAGCTCACCCATTATAAAAAGAATAATCCAGTTTAAAAATGGGCAGATGAATAGACAGCTCTCCAAGGGAGAATACAGATGTCCAAAAGACATATAAAAAAAGGTTCAAAGTCTCTTGTTATAAGGGAAATGCAAATTAAAACTACAGTGACATACCATTTAACCTCAGGATGACTAGAATTAAAAAAAAAAAACAAAAACAAAAAACGAGTGCTGGCAAGGCTTTTAAACTGTTGGTAGAAATGTAAATTTGTATAATCTCTGTGGAAAACAATATGGAGGTTCCTCATAAATCTACAAATAGAACTACTATATCACCCAGTAATATTACTCCTTGGTATTTACCAAAAGGATAGGAAAACAGAAAGACACTAGCACATGCATGTTTATTACAGCATTATTCACAATTACTAAAATGTAGAACCATCCTAAATGTCCAAAAACTGATGACTGGTTTGAAAAACTGTGGCACATAAATACTATAGATTATTACTCAGCTATAAAAAACAATGAGACCAGGGCCGATAGGTGGTGTGGTGGTTAAAAGTGCTGGGTTCCCACATGGCTGACCATGATTCAAGTCCTGGACCTGGCAGCTTGGTTTCTCACTTTCTCTCTCTCTCTTCTCTCTCCTCTCTTCTCTCTCTCTGTCCCTCTCTGGTCAAATTGAAATAAACAGATGCATAAATAAATAAAGTTAAATGAAAAAAAAAAAAAAACAGAAAGCAATGAGACCTTGTCATTTGATTCAAAGTGGATGAATATGTTGAGCAAAATGATACAGGGTTTGAAAGGTACACACTGTATATCCCCACTCAATTTGTACCGAGGAGTAGCACTCTATGGAAGAAATGGAAAGATCTAAAGATATGATAATAGATAGAGTAAGTGTAGATACCATACACTATAAGGGAGAGGAGTGTATGATAGAGAGTGGATGTGAGGTGCAAAGGGTAGAAACATTTAACAGACAAAAAATGTAAAGTTGTCTTTAAAAAAATAGTATATATCATGATAGGGATTTTCTGGAAAAAGGGAAATTAATCTAAAAATTAAAAAATTTTATGGTAGATATGATAATGGTTGCATGATTCTAAATCTTTACTCAACTATGGAGTTTGAAAAAAAATCTTTTGGGGACTAAAACTCCTAAATCATGGTATCAACAGTGTTTTGTCCTCTATTTTGGCTCTAGGAGAGACTCCTTCCTTGCTTCTTACAGGTTCTGTTGTTTGCTAGCAATACTTATTGTTTCTTGGTTTGTAGAACCGTTACTCCAGTCCCCTCTCTGATGTTCTCCTGGTGTGTGTCTTCTCCAAATTTCTCCTTTTTATTAGGACAATAGTTTTGAATGAAGGCTCATTCTATGACCGTATTTTAACTTGATTATCTCACTTAAAGAACATATTTAAAACCATGGTGGTCAAGTGCGGTACATCAGGAGCCAGGTCCCACATGATATGACTGATCACAGTTTAAATTCCAGCCCTAGCAGTTTGAAAAGCACACCAGGGGTGCGTGTTTGTGTGTGTGTGTGCATGTATGTGTGTGTGCGCGTGCGCCCCAAATACTAACAAGATGCAGAAATGAAGGAAAAAGGATTGTGGTGTGACCATGCTCCATTGAGGAGTGCTGTCTCTCTCACTAATGAGTGTATCCACCCTCTGACAGTTTTCTAGAATGTTTTGTTGGGGGGAATTACAGACTTGAAAT